AAAAAAAAAAAAAAAAATCAGCCGGGCGTGGTAGCGCCTGCCTGTAATTCCGGCTACTCGGAAGGCTGAGGCAGAAGGATCGCCGGAGCCCAGCAGCTCGAGGCTGCGGTGGCCGGAAGCGGCCACTGCACTCCAGTCTGGGCGACAGAGTGAGACTCCAACTCAAAAAAAAAAAAAAAAAAGTGAAAGAGAAACAAAATATGAAAAATTGAAATTTAGTCTGAAATATTCAATGTTACCATTATAGATTTTGCAGAACTAAAGACATGAATTTCCAAATTGGAAGAGTATATTAAATGCTCATGTTTTATAAACGTGCCCAATCTTACAACACCTACAATTGGATGCCATTGTGAAATTTCAGAACACCAGTGATAAAGAAAAAGTCTTAAGAGTTTTCAGAGAAAAATAAACTGGTCACACACAAAGGAAGGGCTATCATAATAGTATCAGAATTCTTAAAAGCATCCCTGAAAGCGAGACAATGAAGCAAAACTTTAAAAGATAGGAGGGAAATGCTTTTTAATCTGGATTCTAAATCCAGTTAGACTATCAATCAAAAGTAAGCATAAAATAAAGACTTTTTTTTCAAAATACAAGGACTCAAATGATTGACTCCCTTGGGCCTTTTCTTAGAAAGCTACGGGAAGCGTGTTCTGTCAGAGCAGTTAGGTACACGAAGAAAGGGGAAGCCATGAAACCCAGGAAATAATATAGCACAAAAGGAAGAGAGCAGTGAGGCTTTACTAAAAGGCAGGAGGATGGAAGGCTGCAGAAGGAAGGTCACTGGGGGAAAGGATTGCCAAATTATATGCTATTTGGCTCATTTGGAACAGAATACTAAGTCAGCATTTGAGATAACAGATGTGATATAGCTGTGATGGGAGGATTTAAGGATAAGCATATAGAAAACAAGAAAAGTAAAAATAGTACTTATCATTAACTCCAGAAAAGTAGACGTTTTGTGAGAAAAGTTTTATAAGATCATAGTATACAACTTGACTCTTTAGTGAATATGTATGTAGTCATAATGTAAACAGTTGGCTTTTGTTTTATTGTTGGGAGGCTAGCAGAATGAGAAACTTGTATGTGTGATGTGTCATCTACCATCTGTAAAATCAATAAGGAATCACAGCTAGGATATTGTTTAGCAAAATGGAGGTAAATATTAGGAGAAATAGCTAAAATTTGCAATTGATTTTTTTCTTGCAAAAGAGAAGCCAGGGCGTGTAGATTTTCTTTATGTTTTGTTTTACTTTGACTAAATGTTAAATTATTTAGTCAGGTGTGGTGGCTCATTCCTGTAATCCCAGCACTTCGAGAGGCCAAGGTGGGAGAATCACTTGAGTCCACGAGTTTGAGCTCAACCTGGGCAACACAGCGAGACCTCATCTCTACACATAAAAAATTAATAAAGTAGCTGGGTGTGGTATCACATACTTGTAGTCCTGGCTACTTGGGAAGCTGAGGTGGAACTTGAACGTAGGAGGACGAGGCTGCAGTGAGCTGGAATTATGCCACTGTACTCCAGCCTGGGTGGCAGAGTAAGACCTTGTCTCAAAAAAAAAAAATTAAAATATTTAAAAATGTTAATATAACTTTGAAAATGAAAGTAGACACAATGAAATATCTGGAATTGGTGAGATAATGGTAAATACTACAGATGAATGTACCTTTCCGAGTTGTATCTTTAAAATGGGTGTGATGATATCAAATATGTTTTACATTTAACAGAATTATCACAAAGCAACAGTGACAACACCATCTAGTAGCAAGAGACTGAATGTATTCAGAAAGTCTCAACACAAAACAGAGATAAGATAAGTAAGGATTTGCTATAGCTGGACAAAATAATCATTAAGTTTGTACTAATGAATAGATTTTGAATGCCATACCTTAAAATGGAGATTATATGCAGTACTCTTGAAGCATTGACAAAAACTATCCATATATTCGGTCACAAAGGAGACCTCATTATATTTAAAAAGGAAGAAATAGTAGAAACTTCATTTTCTGACCACAATACAAGTTGAAATTAACAGTATTTAGAAATAACTCTCCAAGCCAAAAGAACATAACAACAAAATACTAGACATGAAAAACCCCAGTGGCTCAGCCTGTAATCCCAGAACTTTGGGAGGCTGAGGCAAGTTGATTGCCTGAGCCCGCAGGTTTGGGATCAACCGGCCAACTTAGTGAAACATTGTCTCTACGATAAAAAAAAAAAGTAGCTGGGCACGGTAGCACATGCCTGTAGTTCCGGCTACTTGGAAGGCTGAGGTGGACGGATCGCTGGAGCCCAGTAGGTCGATGCAGGGAATGGCTCCAATCTGGGCGATGGAGTGAGCCTCCAACTCAATAAATAAATAAATAACACTTTTTGAAAACTTTCTTCTTGAATCCAAGAAGAAATCAAAATCCGAAACAGAAACTTTAGAATAAGTAGTAATAGATGTCCATTCTCCCCTCTATTTTTACTAAAAGAATATTGACTTTGTTGAGAGTGTCAAAGACCAGCTAAAAAACTCACATTTCCCAGTCTCTCTTGCATCTGGGGGGTGGCCATATGATTAAGCTCTCACTAAGAAGATCTAAGGGATTATTGGTGGGTTTTGGCTTCCAGAAAAGCTCCTTAAAAAGAAGGTTGACTCATCTGGTTTAAGCCTTTGGCATGTGTGATGCTGGATCAGCCATCTTGTAATCATAAAGTGTCTAATATATGTCAAGGTCCAATAAGTGAAAAGATAAAAGAAGTGATCCTCATAAATATCCTCGTAAATTCCTTAGATTTCCTACTTCTGAGGAAAGATTCCTAACTTAAGTCTTCTAAAAATTTATTTAATTTTTATTGATTGATTTTTTTTTTTTTAGAGACAGGATCTTGCTCTTTCACCCAGACTGGAGTGCAGTGATGCGATCATAGCTCACTGTAACCTCTAACTTCTGGACTCAGGTGATCCTAGCACCCTAGTCTCCTGTGTAACTAGGACTGCAGGCACTCACCACCACACCTGGCTAATTTTTAAAACTTTTGTAGAGACAGCGTTTCGCTTGGTTGCCTAGGCTGGTCTTGATCTCCTGACCTCAAGACATCCTCCCGCCTTGGCCTCCCAAAGTGCTGGGATTGATTACAGGCATGAACCACTGTGCCCACCTCTAACTTAAATGCTAAGCTGCTATTTTGGGTTTCTTTGTTAGTAGGCACCAACATAATTGCTAAGTGACACAGTTACATATCACAATTTATAGGATTAAATTAAAGAATGAAAATAAATAAGTAAAGCATCCAGGTCAAGAAGTTAGAAATAGAACAACAAAATAAAGTGAAAGAAAGCAGAAGGAAATAATGAGACTCAATCTAGAACTCAGTAAAATAGAAAATTATAAAAGAAATGATTGATTACTCTAATAGCCAGTTCTTTAGGGAAACAGCAATTAAAAAATATGTATAGGCATATAGTCTACGAGTGTAATCAAGAAATAGAAGAAAGCACTAGACTCAACAATAAGAAATAGATACAGAAGAAATGAAATGATTTATACTTTGCCAAACTCTGTGCAAATAAATTTCAAAATGTGGGTTGAATAAGTGATTTTCTTGGAAAATATGCTACCAGATTGACTCCAGAACAGAAAGAAAACTCAAAAAAATTCCTGAAAGTGAAAGAAATGAGACGACTGTCATCTGTGATTGGCTGTTGCTACTCTTCCTGGGTCCCCTTTGCTCTTGCAGTTTTTCAGAGTAACAGAAGTAAATTTCAGGTGGGGGTACAGAGCATGGAGCAGAGTGGGTATCCTGCTGGGTGAGCTGTCTGCAGTCATGTGACAAAGATGGTCGCACACTAGAAAGGTGAAGGCAACTCTTCTTAGCCTTACACATTACCATGCAATAGAGAACCTACCATCTTCTTCAGTTTTTAATAACATTTTCCAGATCAGTATGCTACTTGAACTTTTAGGTAAGAAGAAGATGGAAATTTATTTTTAATACTTTAATCTCGCAAACAACTGATTCCTTAGAGTAAAAGTATTAAGGTGTTTAGTGTGAAAGATTTCAAATCAGGATTGTGCATTAAAAAAAACCTGGAAGTATCTGAGAAGAAAATTAACAGTATAGGAAAAAAAGAAAAATGGCTAGCGTCAGAATTCCTTAACTCTGAGTTATTTTCATGGAAAAGTACCTAGCTCTCAAATGCTGGTAACTGGACTATCCTACTGGTTAAAAATAAATAGCATAAAGTGTGAGAAAACCAACTAAGGGGAGGGGAAAAAAGCAGACGGAACAGTTTGCAAGCTAGAAAGGGAATAATGAAGTTATGCCAAAGGCATCAGGTCATTACACCAGTTGTCTGCCCTCAGACAAGGGTTCAAGCCCAGTGTTGACAATACAATGGCCACGTGGACTCGAGGGCATCCAGAAAGGCCCTGTTTGGACAGGTCAGGGGAGGTCTGCCTTCAGCATTTGGTTCTGAAGTGTCTTGGCTGTTTAAAGTGTCTTGTTTTCTTTGGACTTTGAAGTCTCCCCTCATAATTATTCCAGTCTTCACTTAAACAGATGTAATTCTAACCTAATGTCCCCTTTTTACCCGTCTCTCTCTGGTAGCTGGAACAGTGAACCATGGAGCTGTATTTTGGTGAATATCAACATGTACAGCAGGAATATGGGGTCCACCTGAGACTTGCTAGTGATGAAACCAAACAATCGAGGAATTCCCAGCACTCAAAGGCAGGCTCCTACGGTGTCAGTATTAGGGTCCAGGGGATTGATGGCCACCCCTACATAGTCTTGAATAACACGGAGCGGTGTCTGGCAGGCACGTCTTTTTCTGAAAATGGGCCATCATTTCCAGCTCCAGTGATAAACAACCTGCCTCTACATCCCAGCAATGGTTCCGTACTAAAGGAGAACAGTGCGGAAGAATTGCGGCTCCCAGAAAACCCATATGCCCAGCCTAGCCCAGTCAGAAACCTGAAACAGCCATCTCTGCATGAAGGCAAGAATGGAGTTCTAGATCGCAAAGATGTGTCAATGAAGCCATCCCACGTGCTGAACTTTCAAAGGCATCCAGAACTTTTGCAGCCCTATGACCCTGAAAAGAATGAGTTGAACTTACAGAATCACCAAGCTCCTGAGAGTTGGTTAAGAACATTAACAGAAGAAGGTACCAACAATAAGAAGCCTTGGACTTGCTTTCCCAAGCCTAACAGTTCCCAGTCTGCCAGCCCTTCCTTGGAAGACCTGGCCAAATCCAGTGTGACAGCCATTCATCTGTGCAGCTCTGTGGTCATAGAGGACCCCAAAAAGCAGACCTCAGTGTGCGTGAACGTTCAGAGCTGCACCAAGGAGGGAATGGGAGAGAAGGCCCTTTCCCCTACCAGGAGACCCCTAACTGCCCACAGTCCACATGCTCAACCCGACACCAAGAAAACCAGGCCAGATGTTCTTCCCTTTCGGCGACAAGACTCAGCGGGAGCCGTCCTGGATGGACCTCGGTCTCGGAGGTCCTCCTCGTCATCGACAACTCCCACGTCAGCCAACTCTTTATACAGGTTTTTGCTGGATGATCAGGAATGTGCCATCCATGCTGACAATGTCAATCGTCATGAAAATAGAAGATATATCCCCTTCTTGCCAGGAACCGGGCGGGATATTGATACGGGATCAATTCCTGGTGTGGATCAGTTAATTGAGAAATTTGATCAAAAACCTGGACATCAGAGAAGAGGAAGGTCTGGGAAGCGAAACAGAGTCAATCCTGATGATAGGAAAAGATCGAGAAGTGTGGACAGTGCCTTTCCTTTTGGTCTCCAAGGGAATTCAGAGTACCTGACTGAATTCAGTAGGAACTTGGGCAAGTCAAGCGAACACCTCCTCCGACCGTCCCAGGTGTGTCCGCAGAGACCACTGGCTCAGGAGCACCGTTGGAAACAAAATGTGGGCCGCACCTTTGCAAAGCTGCAGGGAGCAGCACATGGTGCTCAGTGTGCCAACCCCAGGTCTTCCCAGCAGAGCAAAGATGGGAAGACTCCAGAAGCCAAAGGTAGTCAGGAAAGTACAGCAATGCGTGCATCTTCCATTCCAGCACAGAGTAAAAAGGAGGAGGAAGTAAAAACAGCAACCGCTACGCTGATGTTACAGAATCGGGTGGTAACAACTTCACCTGATTCTGGTGCCAAGAAAATTTCTGTGAAGACATTTCCTTCCACCTCAAATACTCAGGTAACACGAGTGTGATTCTTTTTTCTTTTTCGTTTCTTTCTAAATGATCTCGATGATGTACTCATGCTGCAGGAGACCATAGGAAGACACATCGTCAATCTTGAATCAGGAATTCCACACCTGGATTTTTAAGGATCAGATTATTCCTATAGATGATGTTCTACTGCCAGTTGTATGGTATCTGGACTCTTTCAAGTTTAGCTAGATGCCCATTGTGGTTTTTCTGTAGAGTAACTTGTCAAACACTTCAGTGAGGCTAGATTTTTCTGTTTTGTGTATGTGTGAAATCTGAAAGCATGCAGAATTTGTTTCCACGCAGAGGTTCAGTGGTTTAGGTTTGTATAGTATATTCATTTTCCTCATAAAATTGAGTGATTGTGTTAATTTCCAACCTGAGAAATTAGGTAATTCCTAATTTAGGTTAATTGTAAAGTGATGGCATGTAAGTGGTACATTTAGTGCTTTGGTAGTTAACAATAAAAAATAATGATATTGATAAAGATGATAATAAGGTTGATAAGTACCAGGCGCTATTTGTTGTATATTACAGGACTGCACCAACCTTATGAAGGTAGGTGCTATTATCTTCAATTTACAGGTGAGAAAATTGAGGTGAGGAGAAGTTAAGTAACTTGCCCAAGGTTACAGAGCTAATAATAAGTGTTGTAACTGGTTGTAATGAGGATGCTAACCTGAGAAATTGGTTTTGGAAGGTAGGAATGTGTCTGGAAGCCTCTGTTTCAGGGTTTTGCCTTCTGGCTGTGAACTTCATCCTCCTGTTCTAATAACAGACATTATATTCCAGGCCACACCGGATATCTTAAAGGGCCAGCAAGAGCTCACTCAGCAAACCAATGAGGAGACAGCCAAGCAGATACTTTACAATTACCTCAAAGAAGGGTGAGTGACTTTCCTTAAACAACAAAGTATTGTCATTTCTGGTGGGGCTCTTAATTTCCTTTCCTGAGGTCTTGTATTTTACCTTTCCTTCTTGCCCTGTGTGAGCCTTTTGAGGGTTGAGACTCAATAGCTAGAGTTTTCACGATGGCATATAAGTCTTGGATGGTAGGGAGTGGGACTTGGGGAGGGGAGTGTAGGTCAGACGTCACACTTTAAAAATTAAAAATGAATATAATTTTTAGATGACCCTTTACTCTTTCAAAACCAATTCAAAGATAGGAAGAATGTCTGCTCTTCAGGTTTGAATTGAGTTGACCATCATCTTGAATCGTTCATGCACACAGTAGTCTTTTAGAAGTTACAAATAAAAACACCTCCATTCCTCCTCAGAGTTAACCTTGGCCAGGAGCCCCTGCTTCCATCATTTTTAAAGCATGCATGAGTCACTTAAAAGCAGTGCTTTCTGTACTTATCTTGGAGGTTGGGTTGGAATAATCTGGGTTTCAGTTCTTACTTAGATACTAACTCTGCTGGAATTCTAGGCAAGGAATTTGAAGTTTCCGTTTCAGTTCTCTCATCAGATATGATTAAGAAGGGGAAAAAAAAAAAAGCTTTACAGCCAGACATGACTGAAAACCAGCCACTTGGCAAATACTCATTGATATCAAAACACTTTATTTTTTTTTTGTATTGTGCCTTACAATTATTTGTCAGTATTACAGAGCTGACAAAATAAGCACAAAATTATGATAGGAGATCTTTTAAAAAGAAAAAAGTAACCAAAATGTTTCTTTAGCTAAGAACTGGATAATAGCATCTCCTTGCAAAGGGTTTTATCATGTAAAGATTGAAGTAGAAGAGCTTTTGGTTTTTAACATTCTTTAAATTCTTTCATTTATTTATTTTTTTTAGTACATGATTTATTGACAACTGGTGAGACAGACTTTAGTGGGAGATGCCTGTTGAAGAAAATTTATTTTAAATCTTTTTCTTCTAATTGCTGGGTGTGTGGTAGAAGGTAATAAAACTTTATATGATTGTTAACTGTAAGTCCAGACAAAGGGCTGCCATGTTGACAGTCTTGGCTTGGGTGTTTTGTTTTCTTAAATATAGGCTAAACAAGTTAAGATCACTGCAGATTGTTCTTAGTGAAAGATTTAAAAGTAAAGTGTGTATGTGTGAGAGAGAGACAGAAAGAGAGAGAGAGAGAGAGAGAGAAAGAGAGAGGGAGAGAAACATTAAAGAAAAAGGAATTTCCTTTTGGAATGAATATGAGTCATTTAAATCACATAACAAATTATTAAAGTTTCACTGGATGTTTTCTCCAAGCTTATTTAGAATGTAGTTATGTCTCTCTCATGTATTTGAAAATGAGAACCGTTGTCCCAAATTGAGTGGTAACATATAATAACTTATTTAAAGACAAAATATACCTTCCTTCCTGCTCTTCTTTTGTCTACAGCCTTGATTAACTCATGCCTCTTGGATTTTATCTTCTTAAAGGGTTTGTTGTATGTGTAGCATGGCATATAAGATATTCTGAGACCAATGCTTGTGTCACTATATGTTTTCTCTGCTGTCTCTTTTTTCAGAAGCACCGATAACGATGATGCTACTAAAAGGAAAGTCAACTTGGTCTTTGAGAAAATCCAGACTTTAAAGTCTCGAGCAGCTGGGAGTGCACAGGGAAATAACCAAGTAAATTGACATTTTGTATTTTGCAGAATGCATTTACCATGGAATATGGTAAACAACTTGCTGTTTCTTTAGTCTGTACATTTGTTTATAGCAGTCAGTGGGAAGTTTCCTAAGTAGTGAGCAGCACTATTTGCCATGTTTTTAAATATTGTTAATTTGTACCTGGTCTTTTTTTTTTTCCAGAAAGGTTTTAATATATTTTATTTAAAAATATGTAAAATATAGAAGGATGGCATAAATAGGTGATGTTTAGAAGGGGACAGTAAGAATAGGAAGAATGGAATAACACAAGGATTGGAGAACTCTAGCATTGTCAGAAGCAGACTTGGAAGGTAAGTGCGAAGAGGCTTGGACTCAAACTCTGAAACTGCAGGTTGAAAGAGTATAAGGACCAAAGGCTGGTGACACTGACCGGCTCTGGTACAGAGGAAGGGAAGAAGTGGAGTAGTACCAAGTTCTTTTAAAAACAAACAAACAAACAAAACTGCCTGTCTACCTGATTGTGCTGAATTTGAGCTGGGACTTAGAGATGAAGAGAGGACAGTTAAATACTTGTCCTTCAGTCATCTGCCTGTTAGGACTCCTTTCTTGCTTCATACCCCCTCCCTGTCCCAAGGGGAGTTTTGCATGGGAAGGAAAGAGAAGATACTCAGAGGCAGATGACATGAAATTTGCCTATAGCTTCTTTTAAACTCTGGAAACATATGTACAGAGGTATTTTTTTGTCATCATCTACTATCTTGTCTTTTCTTTTATAGCTCGTTATTCCCCTAAGCACTCAGCTAACCCATGACTGCTGTCCTGCCAGCAAATAGAACAATGCTGTGTGTGTGTATATGTGTACACACACAAACATAATTCCCACTGGAGAATCTTGAAATTTTGTTTATTTGTTGGCAGCCTCTGGGAGCTCTACATAGTTCTTAAAATTCCTTCAATATGTTTTGCTAAAACTCTTAAATCCAAATGATCAACATGATTCTTGTTTTTTTGTTTATTTGCAAAGGGTGAATACAACCTTTGGCCTTGATGTTAAGATTGCGGTTGTGGGTCTCATCCTAGGAGTAATCAACCCAAACTGAGGAAGTCAGGGTAACCCTTCTGGAGACAATGACACTAGTGGTGTCTCAAAAGATACAGGATTCTCTGTGAGAAGAAGGGAAGGCAAGGTGTTCTAGGTTGAGGGAATGGCATGAACAATTATGAAGAGACGTGGGTTTGCCAGGTTTAGGCAACTGGAGGTAATTTAGTGTAGCAGGACCATAGGGCCAGGATGTGGGGAAGAAAAACCGGGTAGTGAGGACCTCAGAAATCACATAAGAAGTTTCCATTTCTGGTTGAAGTGGATAGGCTGCCATGGATGGATTTTAAACAGACATGAATACCATTGCATTTGTAAAAGTTCATTCCTTTTGTAGCTTTTGGATAGAGGTAAGATTAGAGGAAGGGAGATCAATTAAGAAGCAACTGCCAAATCAAGCAAGAGATAAGGTGAACCGAGGCTCTTAGACATCTGGCTCTGATCACAGTGCCATGACTATTTGATTGCCTACATTTCCCTGCTCCTTTTCTCTTCCCCTTATGTTCTGAATCTTAGTCTTTGCTGGCAGAGATTTTGGAGGTGTATCTTTTTTGGTGTCAGTTAAGTGATTAGGAGAGAATGTAAGAACTATCTATCCTGCCTTATGGACTGAGTCCATACTGGAAAGCAGTAAAGCAGGAAGAATTTTTGTTTGAAAAAGAACAATGTATGATTTCTCTCACTGGGTTGGATTTCGATTTCTAAAATGGATTTTTCTCATATTGCTTGAGAAAATTGGAAGTCGTGTGTTTTTGCTGACTCTAGGGTTGTAGTTCTCCTCACAGGAGTAGGTGGGGAAGTACCTCATTCCAAGTTTATCACACACAACTCACACCTGGATACAGGGACATGCGCGCCAAGATGCTGCCTTTTCTAGCTTTGATTCCTGCATTTATCTCTTCCCCTCAGCTATTTGTAGTTTTCTAACCACTTTACTGTAGGATTTTAGCCAAATCCTTTTGAGAGCATCCTCTTGTTGTTTCCATGGAAGAAAAAAAATGATGTCTGTTAATATTCATACTCAGATCAGAGATGATATTTTAAATAGACTCTCTTTAATCAGGGCCCTCTTCATTATGGAAATGTAGCATCTCAAAGAAGAAAGCCAATTTAGCTAACATACATTTATTTACCACTTGCATACAGACTATGCAGAGAGTAAGGTTAAAAATCTCACTGGCAATTGTGGAGCAATAATCTCCAGTGTAATGAAAATTTCTGTAACAAATGCATATATAAAGGACCTTGGGAACACAGAGACATGGGCTTGGGTATAACTTCATGCAACAGATGAGTCTTCAAGAAATATATATTTTTTATATTGTTTTGTTGGGGCATAACTTATATAAAGTAAATTGCATGGACCTTAGCTGTATAATTAATTGAATTTTTGACACAGGTTTGCATCTATGCAAACACCACCCAGATCAAGATACAGACTGTTCCCATCACCCAGATTTCCTGTATTCCTTCTCAATTGGTTATACCCCTCCTTCTGGAGATAATCCTATTCTGACATCTATCATCTTGATTAGTTTTACTGTTCTTGAATTTTATATAAATAAAATTTTGCAATTTATATTTTTGTATATCTACCTTCATTTCCTCATTCCTCAACATTAGGTCAGCGCGATCCATTAATGTTGCACTATTTTGTACTGAAATATAATTTTGCATTGTATCAATATACCACAGTATATACTATTGGTGGACATTTTCAGTTTTTGGCTATTAAAAATAAAGCTACTATGAAAATTTTTATACCCCCCCCTTTTTTTGGTAAACACATTTACCTACCTCTTTCTCTCTCTCCTTTCCCCCCTCCTCTCTTTCCTCTCTACTCTCCTTCCTCTCTCTCTCTTCCTTCCTTTCTTTTTTTTTTTTGAGTTAGGGTCTCACTCTGTCATCCAGGCAGGAGTGCAGTAGCACGATATGGTTTACTGTAGCCCCAAACTCCTGGGCTCAAGCAATCCTCCCATCTTAGCCTTCTAAGTAGCTGGGAGTAACTTTTTTGATTTTTTTTTTTTTTTTGTAGAGACGAAGTCTTGCTGTGTTGCCTACTCTGGTCTTGGGCTCCTGGGTTCAAGCAGTCCTCCCATTTCAACCTCCCAAAGTGCTGGAATTACAGGCGTGAGCCACTATGCGTAGCCACATTCTCTCATTTCGCTTGAGCATATACCTAGGAAAAAATTGTTGAGGTGAAAAGTAGGCATACATTATCTTTATCTTCAGTTTTTATGATGTGGCTAAGCGTAGTTTTTCTTATATTTATCTTACTTGGGGTTCATTTGAGTTCTTGAATTGATAGGTAGATGATGTTAATCAGATTTGAAGAGTTCTTGGCTATTATTTCTTTGCATTTTGCTTCTTTCACATTCTCTCTCTCCCAGCTCTTCTTAGATTCCAAGTACATGTATGTTAGATATTTTGTTGGTGTTCCTCATATATCTTATGCTCTATTCTGCGTGTGTGTGTGTGTGTGTGTGTGTGTGTGTGTGTGTGTGTGTGTGTGTATCTACTGGTGCATCAGATATTCTGGATTTTTTCTGTCAACCTTCAAATTTGTTAATCTTTTTTTCTGTCTATGTCAGTTTTCTTTTAAGACTTATTCTTCTGAGATGTCCTTAAAATAACCTTTTTTAAATCCTTCTTTAAGGATGGTTCTTAAAAGAACCATTCAATGAGTTAATTTCAGATATTGTGTGCTGCTGTTCTAGAATATATTTGATTATATTTTTATGAAATCTAATTATCTGTGGAGCTCCATTTTAAAAGTCCATTTTGTTCATAATTTTCTTTATTAAAAAAACACATTACTTATAGTTATTTTGAAGCACTTACTTGCTGACTCCAATATCTTCTGTTGTCTTTTTTTTTTTTTGAGTTGGAGTCTTATTCTGTTACCCAGGCTGGAGTACAATGGTATGATCATGGCTACCGTAGCCTCGACCTGCTGGGCTCAGGCTATCCTTCCACCTCAGCCTTCCAAGTAGCTGGAACTACAGGCGCAGCCACCACACCTGACTGATTTTTAAAAATTTATTGTAGAGATAAGTTCTCACCATGTTGTCTTGAACTCCTGGGCTCAGGCATCCCTCTAGCCTTGGCCTCCCAAAGTGCTGGGATGACAGGTGTGAGCCACCACTCCCGACCCGGAGTCTTACTCTGTTGACTCGGAGTCTTACTCTGTTGCCCAGGCTAGAGTACAGTGACATGATCATGGCTTATGGCAGCTTTGACCTCCTGGGCTCAGGTTGTCTTTCTACCTCCTCAGTAGCTGGGTCTACAGGCTCATGTTACCACATCCAGCTAATTATTTTATTTTATTTTATTTTTATTTTATTTTATTTTTGTGAGTTGGAGTCTTATTTTGTCACCCAGACTGGAGTGCAGTGGCCGCTCCTGGCCGCCGCAGCCTCGACCTGCTGGACTCCAGCGATCCTTCCGCCTCAGCCTTCCAGGTAGCTGGAACTACAGGCGCAAGCTACCACACCCGGCTGACTTTTTGATTTATTGTAGAGATGAGGTCTCGCTGCCCAGGCGGGTCTTGAACCCGCGGGCTCAGGCAATCCACTCACCTCAGCCTCCCAAAGGCACGGGATTACAGGCTGAGCCACCGAGCCCAGCTTATTTTATTTTTTATAGAGATGAGGTCTCTCTATGTTGACCAGGCTGGTCTTGAACTCCTGGGCTCAAGTGTTCCTCCTGTTTTACCCCTCCCAAAGTGCTGGGATAACAGGTGTGAACCATCATACCTGGCCTATTGTCTGTTTTATCTCTTAATCGCTGGTCAGTTTTGCATGTCTAGGCTTTTTATTACACACTAGACATAGTAGATGATAAATTATACACGTTCTGGATTGTGTTCTCTCCCCTGAAGAATGTTGAGTTTTGTTTTGACAGTTAAATTACTTGCGGTTCATCTTGATCATGTATGCTTGGTTATTTTAGGCATTGTTAGGGTGGGTCTATGTGAGTTTTTGTCTTTGCTCCTAAAACTTGACCCATGTTCCTGTCTTGGGTTTCAAATAAATACCAGGATGTCTGCCAAACTTTCTCTATTTTGGGTGAGTTGGAACCTAGTGTCTCCCTAGCACTGGACAACCTATGAAGTCTCTGTTGGGTTCTTTGCCTCCTGGCAGCTCTTCTTTCCTGGCCTCTTAGAATCTCACCCTGCTTTCATACAGCTTAGGAATCATCCAGGAATCCAAGGAGTGTTTTTTACAGGTTTTTGGAGCTGCTTCTGTGAAGCTCTGTCCTCTCAGATACCCTGACCCTGGAATCCCTGTATGCTTACCATCTCTAAACTCTTATCTCTGTTTCCTTCATTAGTGAGTTGTCACTTTCTGTTTGGGCTATTTTCCCCCCTTAAATTAATAAACTTTATTTTTCTGAGCGGTTTTAGGTTCACAGCAAAACTGAGTGGAAAGTACAGCGAGTTCTTGTACCCAACCTCACATGTGCCCTTCTTCACTGTTAATAGCCTACATCACAGTGTACATTTGTCACAATCAGTGGGCCTATACTGAGACATTATTATTACTCTGAGTCTATAGTTTACATTAGGGTTCAGTCTTGGTGTTGTACATTCTACGAGTTTTGACAAATGAATAATGACATGTATCTACCAGCATAGTGTCATACAGAATAGTTTCATTGCCTTAAAAATCCTCTGTGTTTTGCCTATTTGTCCCTTCCTGTCCCCTAACTGCTGGTAACCAGTACTCTTTTTATTGTTTCCATAGTTTTGTCTTTTCTAGAAGGTTACGTAGTTGAAATCATATGGTATGTAGCCTTTTCAGATTGATTTATTGAGTAATATTCATTTAAGCTTTTTCCATGGCTTTTAATGGATTGGTAGCTCATTTTTTTTTTTTAGGGTTGAGTAATATTCTGTTGTCAGATGTATCACAGTTCATTCACCTCCTAAGGACATCTTGGTTGCTTATGAGTTTTGTCAGTTATGTATGAAGCTGCTGTAGATATCCATATACAGGTTTTTATGTGGACATAAGTTTTCAACTCATTTGGGTAAACACTAAGGAGGGCAACTGCTGGGGCATATGGTAAGAGCATGTTTAGTTTTGTAAGAATCTGTCAAACTGTCTCCCAAAGTGGCTGCATCATTTTGCATTTCCATAGCAACGAATGAGAATTTCTGTTGCTCTCATGTCCTTGTCAGCATTTGGTGTTTTCAGTGTTTTGGATTTTGGCCATTCTAATGGGTGTGTAGTGGTATCTCATTGTTATTTTAATTTGCAATTCCCTATCGACATTGTTTGGGCTTTTAAAGTTTTACTGTGCTGTGGTTTGGAAATGCAGTTAGGGAGAACCCAGAGTGAATGTAGGACTAACCTCCTGTGCCGTAATCCTTTTAAAGGATTTTAGTCTCGTATTGTTTTTCAATGCCTGCAAACAATTGTTTTATACATTTTTGCCTGGCTTTCATAGTTTTTGCTGAGAGGGTAAATCTGATATTAGCTACTCTATGACAAAACCAGAATTTGAACAATTGTTTATTGAGATTTTATTAAATGTAGAAGTGTTAGGTTCTATAGATACAGAGATGCATTAAACATAGTTCCTGCCCTTCAAAAAAGTTTATAATATAGTAATTCTCAAACTATTCCTAAGACTAGTAAAGCTAAATGGTGTTCTGCTGTTTAGATAGAAAAATAAGTTGTTTTTTACAGTTTACTTACAAAAAGATTTTGTTGCTAATTTTTTGTTAAGCACCGATTTCTGTGGCCTGGAATGTAGAGAAGGTTTTATAGTTTTACTTATCTTAAATTTAATACATTAATACTTTATAATCTACAGAATACATAAATGACCTCCAACAAATATGCCACCTATGCAAGTTTTAGTCATATTGAACTTGTGTCGAGATATCTGATGAAATAATTCCTGTGACTGTGGTAAATGCTGTAGAGAATAAAGTTCACTGGAGTCCCGGTTGGGCAGGGCGGGGGAGGCAGCATGTTTGACTTTGCCTGTGAGGTCCAGGAAGGTTCTCTGTAGGGGTGGTATTTGATCTGGGTCTTACAATGTTTCGTATTATTCCTTATCTATGATTGGGGGGAAGAGAATTGAAATAAAGTATCCTTAACACTTATATTAGGATATCTTTGCAATTAATTACAGGCTTCTAATTCCTCATCTGAAGTGAAAGATCTATTGGAGCAAAAAAACAAGTTGACCCTAGAAGTGGCTGAACTTCAAAGACAGCTTCAGCTAGAAGTCAAGGTATCTGATTTTTCTTTTGTGTTATTTTTTCTTGGTTGATAAAGAATATTTTGTGCACATCAGGATACCCAGGTGAAGTGAAAGCCAATTTTTTTCCCCCAAGAGAAACATTCCTTTCATCACTGAGTAAATTCCTGTGTATTTGGCTGCTGCTGTCCAAAGAAAAAAATTTTTTTTAAAGTAATCAAAGCATATAGACTCTGCTTTGACAGACTAAAAGAAACACTGTTGGATTCAGGCAGGCCAATGGGAAATAAATGTATATAAAATATCTGAACTAAATAATAGAAATAGCAGAATAAAGTTTAGCTGTGTTTTTATTTTACAAGTATTGCAGTTCATCAAATATAAATATTTGACACTCTAGTTGTGAACTCTTGTGCTTTAATTATGTAGTTTGATAATATAAGTACAAAGCCATGGAGTCTGCTAGAATTTAGAAGTGGGCTTCTGTGGGATTGTGTCAGTGGACAGTGGAGGTACTTTGAAATCACACCTATTCATGTTAGAATCAACAGAACATCAAAGAAGAGAGAGACAGAATGAGAGCAAACCTGGAAGAGCTCCAAAGCCAACATGACAATAAGGTGGAAGAGAACTCCGTGTTGCAGCAACGACTGGAAGAAAGCGAAGGGGAGCTCCGGAAAAACCTGGAGGAGTAAGCTCTGGGTCCCGAGACTGTGACGCTTCCTGTGTTCTCATATCACATGTAGCCAGAACCTTTTTGTCCTTTTAATACTACCCAGCCTTCCAAATATTTATCGAGGCTGCTGACCCTTCCTTTTCCTCCCCTCTTATCCTTGTAAAATTGTGAAGTTGGCGACATGCGTAGACTAGTAAACAGAAAGGTTAATAATTATTAAAATTCTTTGCGCCCCTTGAAGTGTGTCTTATAAAGTTTCACCACTTAAAGTGCATCTCATAGCAGGTAAGTGGGAAGCAGGGAACAGTGACTGGTGATATCTAATGACAAATTTCAAGGATCCTAGGCCCAACCTCTAAAAAACACATGTTATGTGGCCTCTGCCATCTCTCAGCTTGTGAATTTTATCCTGAATGGTGCTGGTGTCTGTGATGGGTGCTTATACCTCCTTTGAGTCTACAGGAAAGGAAAGTCAAGTGCAAGATGGCCCTGCCATTGTGATGTGTCAAAATCTGTGGCAAAGGGATCTAAAATCAAGGTCTGAAAATGCACAGTGCCATGATGCCCTGTGGACATGACTGAAGCCCTAAGTGGAGGGTTAAGCAGGACTGAAATCTAGAGAGAAATTCAAGAAAACTAGGGCATTGTGTAATAAAAGCATTTAATTGCCCTTGCAATTTTGATGGTGGAGTTTTTGCTTTTAAAACATTCATAGAGGCTAATTTCAAAAAAGTTAGTAAGAAAAAATAAATTTAGGGTATAGTAAAGGCTTTACAAAGTACAAAGGTACAGTAGTTGTGAGTTTGGTTTAGAGCATAGGTTGGCAAACTTTTTTCTTGTCAGATGGTGATTATTTTAGGATTTGCAGGCCAGAAAGTCTTTTTAGCAACCAGTCAACGCTGCCCTTGAAGCGTGAAAATGGCCACTCATAAATGAATGAGCATGACTATGTTCCAGTACCACTTTATTTACAAAAACAAGCAGTGGGCTGATCTGGCCCATGGGTCATAATTTGCTGACTCTCCTGGTCTAGAACACGGGTAGTGGAGAGTGGGAGGGTGGGGTGGCTTTAGTGAAAAAGTATCAACAAAGTTGGGTTTTGTGATTTCCTCATCTTGTATGTCTAAGTTCTAGTACCTATATGGTCTCCTTTTGGAGAGAAAATATCTCTGTATAACCTTCTGGTTTGAGTTCTCATTTGTCTTCTTGTTGGGGAATTAGGCCATAACCCTGTGTTCTTACCAGGTGCCTTTTCAGGCTAGTGATTCTTTGCTCAGTGTGCAGCAGAGAACAGGAGGCTCCTTGGGGTTTTAGATGACCTGTGTGACCTGAAATCAGACCGGACAAAACTAAGTAGAGCCCAGGGGGGTCTCTGATGGGTTCCTTCCCCGCCAGGTTGTTTCAGGTGAAGATGGAACGGGAGCAGCACCAGACTGAGATCAGGGATCTCCAGGACCAGCTCTCAGAAATGCACGATGAATTGGACAGTGCTAAGCGATCCGAGGACAGGGAGAAGGGGGCTCTGATTGAGGTAAGTGGGGATGTGGAGTCAGGTAACTGAACAGGCCCCACCTGCCGGGAGAGGGTGGGATGGATGGAGGAACCTGTCATTTTCTGTTGTGCATTTGTTCCATCTGTGTCTCTGATTAGAGTCTGTGAGAGCATCGTATGTGATAGTTTTTAAACATTGTCTTAGGAAAATTTTTAGCCATATAGAAAAGTAGAAAGAATAGCACATCATCACCCATGGACCCCCAACATAGATCTAACAGTTGTCAGTGTTTTGCCACATTTACTCCATCCATTCATCTATCCATCATCCTATTATTTTTTGTTTGTTTACTAAGCCATTTCAAAGCATGCCTCACCCTAAATTTTCAGCATACTGTTTTGAAAAATTAGGGAATTTTTTTACATAGCCACAATACCATTATCATACTTAAGAAATGAATAATTCTTATGATATAATAATTCTGATAGTCTTTATTCAGAATTTCCCAATTGTCCCCCAAATTTATTTCATAGTTGTTTTTTAAATCTCCTAAGCAGGCTGGGCTCAGTGGCTCATAATCCCAGCACTTTGGGAGGCTGAGGCGAGTGAATTGCCCGATCCTGCAGGTTTGAGACCAGCCTGGGCAACTTGGTGAGACCTGTCTCTACAATAAATAAAAAATTAACTGGGCGTGGTAGGGCACACCTGTACTTCTAGCTACTTGAAAGGCTAAGAAGAAAGGATCGCCTGAGCCCAGCAGGTCGAGATTGCGGTGGCTGTGAGCAGCATGCCCCTGCGCTCCAGCCTGGGTGACAGAGTGAGACTCCAACTCAAAAAACAAAAACAAAAAACCAATTTTCCAAGCTAGGATCCAGTCAGAAATCACATATTGCTTTCATTGTTATATCTCTCAGGTTTCACTTATCTTAGTATAGCTCCCCTGCCCCCCTCTCCGATGCCCTTGCTCTGTCTTCCAACCCACTGACCCACCGAAGAGACCAGAGCTGTGCCCCACATTCTGGATTTGTCTGATTGTTTCCTTATAGCATCCACTAACTTGTTCCACTCTCTCCTGTATTTCTGAAAATTGGAAATCAGATCTCAGCACTAATAGCATCAGGTTAAACTTTGGACAGAAATATTTCGTTAAGTATGAGATTTATGGAAAAAAAATTTAGGGACATTAAAATTGCATCAGTGCCCACATAGTACTTACCACAGGTTAAGTTTTAATTGTTTAAGGTTCCCACAGGACTATAAGCTCCATGAAGGCAGGGTTGGCTTAGCATTATGTCTGCAAAAGCTGATAGGGTGCCTGGGATGGATACCAGTCAGGAAATATTTGGTGAATGGTTGAATGCATCAATGATGAGTGAATGAATGAATGAAAAAATGCATTTGCTATGTACCTAGGATGCCTATCTGGCTTCTGCCTACGAGAGTTATTAAATATTTGGCTCTTATTAACCTATGAGTCAGTGGATATGTTCAACTCTTTCCTCCGCTTAGCATTTATTTATTTGTTTGTTTGTTTGCATTAGAGTCTCACTCTGTCACCCAGGCTGAAGTGCAGTGGCATGCTCACGACCACCATAGCCTTGACCTGCTGGGCTCAGGTGATCCTTCCTCCTCGGTCTTCCAAGTAGCTGGAACTACAGGCATGCGTCACCATGGCTGACTAATTTTTTTATTTTTTTTTTATAGAGACAAGGTCTTGCCAAGTTGCTCAGGTTGGTCTCGAATCCCTGAACTCAGGCAATCTTCTCACCTCGACCTCCCAAAGTGCTGCGATTACAGGCATGAGCAACCACACCTAGCTAGGAATGTTGGTTTTGATTGTTCACATTTTTTTGTAGGGAATACATACAATTGAGAGTCAGAAAAAAGATAGGACTTTTATCTTTGCACTTGTTTAGATATTTGATATTTGCTATCACATTATCGTCACTTGTATTTTGGCATAATTTTTTGTTTGTTTGTTTTGTTTTGTTTTGTCTTGAGTCAGGGTCTTATCCTGTCACCCAGACTGGAGTGCAGTGGCATAATCATAGCTTACCACAGCCTCAACCTCCTGGGCTCACAGGTGATCCTTCTGCCTCAGCCTCCTGGGCAGCTGGGACTACGGGTGCACACTACCATGCCTGGTTAATATATTTTTAATTATTTTTATTTTTTATTTTTGTAGAGACGAGGTCTTGCTATGTTGCCTAGGCTAGTTTTGAACTCCTGGGTTTCAGCAATCCTTCCATGTCAGCCTCCCAAAGTGCTGGAATTACAGGCATAAGACATTGCACCTGGCCTTGTATTTTGGCATAGTTTTGAAATTTCTTTATAAGTTTTGGTTTGTGGAAACAGTCCAACAAATAAATGATACACAATTTAGAAAAAAGCCAAAAAAAAAAAGAGTCAAAAAATAAAGATTCTTTGTTAGTGTTTCATTTTCTTCTGCCTCTCCCTTAGGGCTTAGGTGTTTTCTTTGTTCTGTTCTTGGGGTTAAAAACTTCTGGCTCTTAAGTCCCTGGGGCTCTCCTTGAGTCTCAGTTGTCAACTGTTTTCTCACTCCCTTCCTCTTTTAGTTTTGAACTAATTCCCCAGGAGGGATTTTAGTTCCTGCTTTTTAGAACTTAACCTTTCTCTTCCCCATGACTTGGCAAGTGTGACAGGAGAACGATTGTGGCCACACAGCACAGGAGTTCTCATGAAATCATTTTTCACATGGGTGGAGGAGAATAATTTTCTCTTTTCCCCACATGTTCATCTCTCTGGCCCTATTAGACTTTTTCTCCTGAGAAGGCCTCAGCCGTGTTCCTTACTACCCAGTAATACTCTTTTTTATCAAATGATTTCTTAAAACCCACCACATTCTTGGTATTATTCTGCTTTTCATGGCCTTGTCTTCGCTTGGGGCTCAGAGATACAAAGACAAGGACATTAGAATGAGGCTTTGAAAATATGTGTATGTATCCCTGAACATAAAATGACATTTTATAATAATACAGACACTGTTAAACCCAAATTTCAGAATCCGAGAGACCAACAAAGAGCCAGCTCTGATGCAAACACACAAGGGTCTTTATTCAGGCTCGAGTCTGGGCTCACGCCCGAAGCAACAGCTTCAGGGACGAGAGCCCCGATCCAGCATGGCAAGCAGTTTTTATATATCATTACAGAGGGAGGGGAAAGAACTTTAAACTTGTTTTTACATGATAGGGTAATTTCTCCTAATGGTACGGGAGCACTTGGGATTGTCTGGTCTGCTCAGCTACCTATGAT